TKGCKKGAAAACGTATGCGAARTCRGCTGGTCGCATACTCACTCTGTACAGATCAGTCCAAGTAAAACATCCATAACATTCATTCCATAACACCGAATGACAAACTTCTTTCAAATATTACTAGATCAGAGAGTTAAGAATTTGCTTACCAAATATAAGCTTCATCCGATCATTGACGAAACTACAGCGTAAATTCTCCTCTGACTGGTCGGAAACTCTCACAGCAAATAACAACTACGAGAAAACATCCATAACTTTCATATCACAACTTCCAATGACAAACCGCTTTCTGACTTGGGTAAATAAGAGAGTCAGGAAAGTCCTTACCAATATTCATATCGATCCGAATAGATTTAATCCTTGGTTTCTATTCCTCACCGAAACTGGTCAAATCTGCGGTTGTTCGAGAATAAGACATATCGCAACAATTGGAAAGACTTGGATCGAGACGTTATTAGATTTTCTGGAAAGCTGAGACTCGGACCTTTCCACAGATATATATATCGTGCACAGTTCGGGAAATCGTCTCTCAACCCGGCGGTGAAGTTCAGTTCCAAGGGCAGCTAGGGTTTACAAGGTGAAAAGTGGCCAGGACTTCGTCGCAGCTGGACTCTTGGTCTTTAAGTCTCACATCCTCTCCCTTTATATAGTGGATGATTAGGGTTTTCGATGGTTAATTGGGCTTGATGGACTCGTTTAACGTTGAAGAGGAAACGTTATATAAGCCCAATCCATTTAAATCCCTTTTAAATAAAAATTTCTTCTGTTTCATTTTTCATGTTCGATCCAAAAATATTTTCGCGCAAAAATTAAAAATCATCGGGACACGGTCGTGACACGAATTTTAAACCGAATTTTGAATCGAACCAGAACCCGATTCGTATAAACGCCACACCCGATTCTTCTTCTTCTTAAACGCGACCCGACTCATAATAATGGTCATATAGCCCCAAATTGAGAAAGCTTAGAACCCTAATCGTGATTTGATAAAATTTTGTTAAATTCGAATCCGAATTCTGACAGCAACGAATCATAGGAGATGAGTAACTCTGGATCTTCGTCGTCAATGTCATGTGACCGTCTC